GTCACTCCTAGTCTGCACTGTAATGTAAAAAATACAACTAAACCAACAGTGTTCAAAAAGTGTTTTGGCTGCTGTATTTAGAAGCAACACAAAGGCGACATCTTAAAAATGAGTGCAATGCACAGTTGCCTTCAGAGCAATTTCACTTCATTAGGAAGGGGTGCGGGTTGGGTTACCACAGCAACTGTTAGAAAATAAAATGCTTTCTCTTCTTGTTTGTACATTGAAGAACTTGGGAGACCACCATGTACTGGAACAAGAGAAGAGATTACAAAAGCCTCCTTTCAACAAAAAGAACTATGTTAAGTTCTTCCCTCAATACAAAAGTTCACATCAATCCCTTTCCTTGAAAGCATGTGGACTATTTCTAACAGCTACTAACTAATACAAAAGAGAGATCTTGTCTGTCAGAGATACAAAAATCTTTTTTGTGGTGAGCCAAAGTGGGTGGGCCTTTACCACACACTGCACTGTCTGCTGGGGCACCAATGTGTGAAATATATGTAGATTGTTGAGCTGCTCATATATGATTTACTTTTATTTGTCAGGCCTAATCCTACTTTTACTGAATTTAATTTGGTGGTAGTTTAGCTAGGCCAGGATTCACTTCAGTCCTAAAGGGTTTGGGTATCATTAATCCAGATTTTAAAAAAATTCAATATGATCTATAAGGAAAAGCAACTTGGGGAAATATGGTTCAGTTGTGGTTTGCTCTTTTCTCTGACATTCTTTTGTGCTTTAGAATGGATTGAACACAGCTGTGCTGATAAAGAAGTTGAGTCAATGGATTGTGGGCAATGTGTCCCTGGGAAAAGGATTAAAATTCTTCTGTTGTGTGTCTTGAAGTGTCAGAATGATTTAGAGAATTATCTGCAATTATCTACCAATAAATTGAAAATTCAGAGGGTTTTACTTATTCAAGGTTTCCTGCAGTGTTGTCAACCATTTTTATCACCCTTTGTTTTAAAATTCAGCAATATCTGCCATAAAGGTATGCAACAATGCAATGTGCAGTACCTTTCAAATGAAAACTACACAACCATCACCCCCTCCCCAACATCGATTCAGTTGCCATGCCCTTACAGTATCTATTCCACCATTCATATAGGATGGTTTCTGTTCCACAGCTCTGGTAACTTATCTCCACCCTCTACTTGCATCCTCACTTCCTCAGCTGTTGGTTTGCTGTCTGCTGCAATCCGGATCTGAGGCACCTTAGGAATTTATCACTCTAGCAAACCAGCTCCAATGGGCTACTGAATACAGCAGCAGGTTAATGTGGGAATCTTAGTGTACGTCAGTACAGCTGAAGTCGAATTAAGCTACGCAACTTCAGCTACATTAATTGTGTAGCTGGCGTCGAAATAGCTTAATTCAGCTTTAAGCGCTGTCTACACAACAGGAAGCCAAAGGAAGAACACTTCCTTTGACTTCCCTTACTTGTGAAATTAGAATTACAGGAATCGGAGTAAGAAGTCCTCCAGCTTGACATAATTTTGAAATAAAGGCTTGTAGTATAAACGCACATTTTGTTATTTCGGAATGACGCTAGTTATTCTGAAATAACGCTGCTGTGTAGACGTCAAACACCCATCTCACTTCTGGCGTCCTTGGGGTCCAGGAAGTGATCAGGACTCCTCTCCCCAATAACAAAAAGGGGCTGGTACCCCAAAACTGTTCTGGTTTGTGCCTTCATTTACTTTGGATCTAGGAAGTCCCGCTTATTATTCAGATTAATAGGTGTTTCAAACAACTTCTAGACTCCTCCCTCACGCTCTGTTTTAGGATAGGTCTCTCTCTAGTTTTGGTGTATTGACTGATGACTTTACACCAGCTATTCAGTGAGCTGGAACAGCCCCAGCAGCATTGATTTCTTCTAAATGAGGCTTTGCTTGGGGTGAGGGTGAAGCAAATGGCTTTGGCCAGCACAGGTCTGAAGACAGCCTGCAATGCTTTTGCAGGCTCCTGGGGGCTGCTGGCCCTCGGGGGCAAAGAAGTAAAGCCAGATTAGTGGAAAGCCCGTGCCCCTGGCTTTGCTTCTATAACCCTGAACCACGGAGGTGCTTCCACTCTAGCTCTTCTTCCTCGATATCGCAGGGCCGGGGCAGTCCAAGCTCCTGTCTTGCTGTAGCGAATACTGCGTGGGAGGGAAGGCTGGCGATGGCAGGCCCTGAGCTCCGAGGCGCAGCTCCCCTGCCGCGGAAGGCATCTTTCACGCTCCCAGCAGAGCAGCGGGCTCTGCCTTGGAAGCACGTGCCCCCGGCGGCGGGAAGCTGTCCGGCCCGAGCCGCTGGAAGGAAAACGTCTAGGGTCACGGGGAGGGAGAACTAACTCGTCCGCTCACTGGCTGGCTGTGAGCTCAGCTCCAGGAGCAGGAGCCTCCTCACGCCCTGTCCCCCCTTGGCTGGGTCCCGGCTCCGCGTTTGAGGATGGGACGGGTGCTGGCTGCGGGCTCCTTGCGGCTGCGAGGAGGGAGCCTCGCAAGCGCAGCGCAAGAGGAGACTGCGCGAGCTGGGGCTTGTCCCTGATCCCTCCTCAGCGGGCAGGGATCGGCCTCGCCACCGAGCAGGCGGCAGGGAGCTGCCCCGGCCGGAGCGCGCCGAGCAGCAGCTGGCCAAGGGGGCGGCGCGCCCGACCGCGTTGCAATGCCCCCTGCCTAGGCACTTTCCAAGCGGCGGGGGAGCCTAGAGACAAAACTTCTCAAGGAACCAGCCGGGAGACCCCGCCCCAGGCACCCAGCCGCCGGGAAACCTTCCCTCCCCCCGGCCATCCCGCGGAAAGCTGGCGGGAAGCAGCCCGCCCCCGCTGTCAGTCCCCTGCGGGATCCGGAGAGAGGAAGCCACGGCCCGGGCTGCGGAGCGCGAGCGGAACTAGCGACCCCCCCCCCCCCCAGGGGGGCCGGCGGGAGGGGGGTGTCCGCCCGGAGTCGCCTCCATCTGCTGCGACGGGGAGGAAAGAGAAATGCAGGCGCCAAGGCAAAGCGAGAGCTGAGTGCCCGGGATCGGACTGCAAAGGGCGCTGCCTCCTGCACCCGGCCCCCCTTGGCCGCGCTGCTGCTCAAAGTGCCAGAAAGTGGGGAGAAGTGACTGCCCGCCGCCTGCCGGGCGAGTGACACGCAGCACAGTTTCAGTAGGAGGAGGGCAGGGCGGGGACCTCCTTCCAGCGCGGGAGGAGGCTCAGCCCGTACTTTGTGGGGTGTGTGGCATTGCACCCCTCTGATTTGCAAGCCTTCCCTCCACCCGCCGCCCTTCCCTGCCCCAGCAGCTGGAGAAGGCTGCTCCCCGCCGGGGTATGTGTGGGCAGCTGCAGGATGGCCTCGGCCGTGTTTGAGGGCACCTCGCTGGTGAACATGTACGTGAGGGGCTGCTGGGTGAACGGCATCCGGAGACTCATCATCAGCCGGCAGGGGGACGAGGAGGAGTTTTACGAGATCCGCACCGAATGGTCGGACAGGAACGTGCTCTACTTGCACCGGAGTTACTCGGACCTGGGCCGCCTCTTCAAGCGGCTGCTGGACTCCTTCCCGGAGGATCGCCCGGAGCTGTCACAGTCCCCCCTGCTCCAAGGTTTGGACAGCTTCTGGCTTCCTTCCTATTGCCTAAGCTCCGGCTCCTGGCTTGGGGGGTATGTAGGTACATCCTGGACGGAGGGGTGGGGGAGAGAACTTGCTGGGGACAGAGACAGACTCTCTTGTTGGCTGCGTGGCTTGAGTCGGTGTCCTGGAGCGATTGAAAGGCTGCAGGACAAACGGGGGGCGGGGGGCCGCGAAGTTAAACTCCGTACAGCGGACTGGAGTCTCCACCGTGTAATTTACTCCCGGTTAAAGTGCTTGTGAAATACCGCTCAGTCCCAATGTTGACACTTCGCGCAAGGCGCAAGGCAGAGGAGAGAATCGGCGCCAGAGGTTTGACCCAGATTGCTGGGAAACTGAATTCAGTAATCATACTCCATCTACACACAGCCCCCAAATGCTGAGGCACCTTGGGGAGGTAATTGCAGAGAGGGGTCTTAAAAGACTGTCCTTCCTCTCTCTGGATCCAGGCGATCCTGATTAACACAATCCATATTTACTGCTCCACCCGCAGTGATTTAACACCTCCCCACCCTGCCCAAGACACTGAGGGATGTGGGGCCTCTTTGGAGGGAGTAGTATTTGGGGTAAGCACTGGTGTTGAAAGCGAGCCAAACGAATATTTCCCATTTGTATGATGGGGAAGGCTGCAACTCTTCCCAGGGCATAGAACAGATTCTCAGGATTAATAATAGGAGGGAAAGATCAGAGTTTATGTATGTTTTCTCATGAGAATATGGAAATTTGCTGCTGCCATCTCTCTTTAGCAATAGTATTCTGGGCTCCTCCAGCACAGGGTGATGGGGAGTTAAATTCTGAGGCTTCACTGACTTCAGTGCAGTTACTTCTGACTGTCGCCCGCCTGAGAAAAGACGCAGTCCCTTGCAGTTGGAGATGGCCCCAGAGATTTTTCCCCAAAATAATGTAAATATTTTTTTCATGAATATTGCAAGCTCTTGATAGTTCTCAAGCCTCCTACTTTTATTACTCCTGCCATCTGTTTGTGTTGTCATTTTGTCCTGTTAAAAATATCTGGAATATATTGCCCTCCCCTCCCCCACCCTCCGCCTCAGTTTCTTTGCTGTATATTCTAGGTTCATGGGAAGTGGCTTCTCTTTCAGTTCCTGAACAATTGAGCTGCTAGAATTAGTTTATCTTGCTTCCTTCCTCAGCTAACACTGAAGGAAGAAATGCTGCCTGACACTCTCAGGCACTGAGTGCCCCCTGCAGACAATTGGAGAATCTTCCTGTATGAATGATGAAAACCCTTGAGTTGGAGCTGTGAATACTCAGCACCTCTAAAAATCATGCCCGAGCTGTATTGAGTGAGGCCCTCCAAATCAGTGACCACTCTTGCAAACTATTAGCCCTTAATTACATGTTTCAGAGGTCCCATTTGTGTTTATTCACTCACACTGGAAGCTGATGTCCCCCTACTTGACCGTTCCACATAGCATGAACTATGACCAATAGTCAGGGAGGACTAAACCTCCCTAGGACATTAGGAGATTTAATGCCTGTGCAAGGCCTGGGTCCTTCAGCCCTCATTTCTGTGAGTAATCCTTCTCATATGAATTGTCACCCTGACTTCAGTAGGCTTCCATGGTGAATGACATACATATGGGCGGGAGTGGAAGAATTAAACACTAATACTATATTCATAGTGAGATAGAAAGTCCCAATGTTATTTTTAATGCTGACAGTTCTACGATTTGGGGGTTAAGATATTTTAAATCTCAAGAACTGTATTTTCCTTGGCTAATGATAGAAACTTCTTACAGTGAAACGTGTAAATATGATAGACTCCAAGTCATGAATAGTTTCTGAGAACTATCATTCCCATTATAGTGAACTCACTTCTTCAAATGAAATTCTGTAAAAAAAAAAAAAAAAAGACTTTGCAGAAATGAGTTATCATTGCACTTCTCTAAGCAGTCTGTACTTAAATACTTATTTACCAGAACTTGTGAATGCCTGGCCACACAGTCACACATACAGTCAAATCTAAATGATGCTTTGGATATAAGCAGGGGATTTTATAATGTATTTGGTACACAAAGGAGTGTATGATCTCATTTTAGATGAACTTTTCAAATCTGAGGTATCAGATTTTAAAGAAAAATCACATTATTTCATACATTTCCATATATTTAACCCAAATAGAAAGTCATGCTGCTTCTAGGCATTAGCAATGAGTCAGATATATTGTTGATCTCAATCTTTCCAAAAGTACCAGGCTGTGTAGTGTTTGCATCTGTAATCTTTATGGAGGCAATGAAAGCATTTTGAGTCAATTTTGAGCAGGAACTGGAAATGCTTCTGGTTACTGTAGATACATTTAAGTAGCATCAGAAGAATTACATTAGCTTGTAATTGATATACCCTTTCTCAAACAACATTATATAAAAAATAAAGGATATTTTCAAATAGCAGACACCTATAATTTGAGCTAAAATAGTTTGATCTTAAAAATGGTTATTAATTTCATAGGCTTAAAAAATGTCCCACTTTTCAGCTGCAGAAATATGAGAAAGAGATGGTAGAGCTCTGCTTTCGTGGGACTATAATTACTTGTGGGTACAATATAAAGCTAACATTCTGTGCTGATATGTTCCTTCTTGCTCCTTAACAGCAAAATCAATGATCCCCACTGTCCTCCCCAACCCACTATTTCCAGAGCTAGGGATGTGAGGTTATCCAGTTAATCAGTAAGCATCACCCTAAATTCTTGATTATGTGCTTGATACCACTGTACTTGCTCTTGGAAGAGCTGCTCTCATTGGGGCTCACGCTATAACATTAATCTAAATCTGTTTTTCACTATGAATTTTGCAGCCTGATCCTTTGACATGCGAGCATGCATAAATCATGCAGATAGTTCCTCTGAAATCAGACGGTCTCTTTATAAGAGTAAGAACTATTTGCATAAGTATTTTTAAGATTTGGGTCCTGTGTGTGAATACCGATACACAAGGAATTAACACACTGTATTAAACAAAGATCACTGTAAATTTCTATAAACTTAGGACTCAAGATTCTGCAAGAGGATTGTTCCTCATGATGCTCAATACCCTCAATTGCTGTATGTGTTTATCTTAACTCTTTCGGTAACTATGTGCCCCTAATATACGTGGGTACTAGCACACCCAGCATAAATTATGACTGAAAAAGCAAATAACGAATAGGAATGTATATTCTTTTAGTTCACAGTATCTGTGAAAACATACACGTTCTCTTCACTGTAATGTGAACTGAGGGATATCAGAATCTTGCAAAGATCAGACTTTATGCCCTATGTTGTATTTTTAAGTGGTGTGATGCCTGCATACAAAGCCAGGAACTTAACCAGGTTCCTCTCATGCAAATTCGTCAGTACAGGCTGTCCCCGGGTTACGTACAAGATAGGGACTGTAGGTTTGTTCTTAAGTTGAATTTGCATGTAAGTCGGAACTGGTACATATTGTAGGGGAAACTCTAGCCAAACATTTCTCCAGAGCTCAGTTTTATTCTCCCACACCTCACTTCCCTCAGTCCTTTATTCTCAAGCTGAGGTGTCTGCTGAGAAAAGCCACTCCGCGTCTCCCTGGTCTGCTGGGGGGAGCGCTAGCTTCGCGTCTCCCTAATCTGCTGAGGGGAAGCAGCTAGTGCGGGGTTGCCTCACCCCGTTTGTAAGTAGGGATCCGATGTAAGTCGGATCCATGTAACCTGGGGACTGCCTGTATTCCTCTACTGTAGGAAAGGGGGGAACAGACAAGGGAACTATCCAACTTTCATTCATAGAAGAAAGCCATGGTCTGGTCCATAAGGCTCACATGAGCTGTTAAGGGAACAAGACCATCTACGTTTTCCAGTGGACTTGCATTGGCATGGTGTCCTGATTGCAGCTATGCCATGCCAAGGGCATTCTCAACATAAGGATTAGAGGCTGTGTTATATTTTAGAGGCTGCCAGCTTTATTTCATTTCTTAGTGGGCAATGTGCACACCTCGGCCTGCCCATTCTTCTCTCAACTTGTCTGTCGCTCACCTCAGCCCCCATGCATTGCTAGACTAGCAGAGAGCCATCTGCAATTCCCAGAGAATGCATAGGAAGGGGAAGGGGCAGAGAAATGCTGTTACGGAGGTAGCTGACCACCTTTCCCTCCTGGATGGATCTCTATACAAAGAGGGCATCAATCTTGCACAGTCTGTACTATAGTACTAGTATTAAACACAGTATGAGCAATAACTGTGCATGGCAAAGTATACTTGATATCTGCACATTGGAAATGCATAATGAGGCTAAAGACCAGGTACGCTTATCAACAGGAGGTGTGTGTGTGTCTAGGAGACCTACACTCCTTATTATACCGATGCTTTTGTAAAATGTTTTTCATACACATTAATAGTAAGCTGGCTTGTTTCTGTGCTGTTTGCCTCTCTCGGTAGGATCAGAAATTTTGTCTTCCAATCAGATTCCTGCTCTTATAATGACAGATTATCTTAATTTTCATGATTCATTATGATGTCACTAGAATCTTCATAGTATTTTCTTTAGGAATCTGAAGTGTGCTTATCCCTTACTCTAAGGCCGGTGGTCCCCAAACAGTAGGGAGAAACGTTGGTGGAAAGGAGTGCAATGTGTCCTGGACCAATCCCCAGGAAAGGACAGGGAGGGAGTGTCATCCATCCCTGCTTTACCCCCAGCTCTGCTACAACCTGGCTGAGCCCCCGGCCTCAGCCTTGTCCCTGCTTCTTCCCGGCCACATCTCAGCCTCCACCCCATTCCTGATTGCATCTCTCCTCCCAGCCTAACAAGGTACATGGTGTAGACACATTTTGTTACTGATGGCAGGGAAGGAGAGAAAAAGTTTAGGGACTGCTGCTCTAGGTGTATGCATAAACAACACAATATAAAAATACAGACTGGTTCAATAAGGAAATTTATCATTCAGAGACCAACACTTTATTTTACAATCCCAGTCGTTCCCAAGCTATACTCTGTTTTAATCTATGC